AGGCTTGGCCATAGAAGACTCAGATGGAGTGACCAACAGGAGGCAATGACCAAGGGGAAGGCCCAGGAACCCCACACACAGTCACAAGAGGGTACTGGCTGGTGAGTTGCTTCTGTGCCCATGGGGCTTGTTTTTGGCTGGGCTCCTATGATAGTATTCCAGAGAAGCCTACCTGGAATCATCTCGTTGCCATTAGGATAAACCTTGGCCAGTGGAAAAATACCCTTTCTGTAGTAGAGTGAACAGCTGTGGTGTTCTCCATGTCTAATGGCGTATATTCTAATACTTTCACCTTTTTCTCTGCTCTCATCTTCTATTCCATTTTACTTGGTGGTTTTTTTAAAGCTGTACAGTAATCTAATGGTTTTCACAATTAATGATTATAGTGCATTCTGAGTTTGACATCCAAAGAAACAAAGAGCTGACATTTTGGATTTTCAGATCCATTTCCTCTATAACCCATACAAAAATTTTCCTAATTGCTTCTCAAAACAAACAATATATAATTTCCTGGCAAAAACTCCTTTGTTCTTATGTGGATATTGAAAAAAACTGTAATATGTGCTTTTTTTCCCACACAGAAACAAAACTGTAGACAGGATTTAAGGTTTTTCTTAATTCTGCTCTTAGTTCCAGTTGCAAATGAGTTATAATTTTTATGTCTTTTAAATACTCTATACCGTTTAAAAGAGAATCAGTTATCCAAATCCCGTAGGCACTGAGAAATCTCAGCCTAATAACATGACCCTTTTTTAATCACCGTCCATCAAAGCAGTTCACAACAATTGCTTGCTTAATCCTCACAATTTTCCCGATATGTCAGTAATGTAAGAATCAGCCCCATTTTAACCGATATGAAATCTGAGGCAAGGAGAAGATAGATGCCTTCACCAAGATCGCACAACAAGACAGTGTCAGAGCTGGAATTAGAAGCTAAAAATGCCTGGCCCCACTGAAGTCACTAGCATATCTCCCAGTGATTGATTACTAGACTTACGACCCAGCTACATTAAGGGATGGGATGTTAGAGGAAAAAAGCAGTAGATGCACCTTTGTAGTCGCATACCTTCCTGTTGTGCCAACAAACAGGCATTTGTCCATGCAAGACAGATATGTTAAAAAAAAAAAAAAAGAGTGGTTAAGTGTGCAGTTATCCAGGGTGCATGTGCAAATGCATGTTTGGGCATACAAATTAATGCTTTTGCAGGTGCAAAACCCACACCCATTTTGCTTTCCTTGGAAAATTCAGACCAATGTGATTGCTAGTGCACTGAATCCTTAAGGCTTGACCTGAATCCTTTGGTCCTATGAGTAAATTACTTTGCCTTCAGTGAGACTCATGGGAGCAAAGGCTGCAGATTTGGGCCCCTCAGCCTCTCTCTGACAGAAATAATTATTTAGTTATATAAAACAAACTATGATGAGTGGAATTACAGGTTGAGTGACACAGATATATTACCAGCATTAAGCATTTCTCTTGTAACATTTAGTGTGTTGAACATTTTGCTGAAGTCAATGGAGCTACAATGATTTACTCTAGCTGGAGATCTGGCTCATGGTCTGTTGTGAAGTCTCAGATTAACAGAACAGTAAGCATGATCCTGCCGTTCAGCATTCTTTCCATTCAGCTCCTTTGTTGTATGTCCTTCCACTTAGATCTGAGACCCTGGGAATTATCATCAAACCTTATTAGTATTGCTTTTGTAGCATGACATTTTTGATATACTAAAATGCAATAGCATTTAGTTGGTCTATATTTGACATCTGAATTGTATTAAGAAAATAAAATCATTATAAAACCAATATGGTGAGATTCCAGTACTCTAGCTCATGCCCTACAGAAGGCTGTTCATGTGCAACTGCACTCAAGGACAAAGAAAGGACACCACAAATTCCTATAAAGCTTCCTTTCAGCACAGTCACACTACTGGAATTTGAGCAAACTCTTGTTTACTTTGTTCAATGCCACAATTAGTGAAAATCAAAGTGTCTGAGGATGCATTTTGTGATGTAAATTACTAGGTAATTAACCTTAATGCACTCTGTTTAGAATCCCCAACTTACTGAGGGAGTTGAGAGTATTTATCAAATGCAACATTATATATGTCTGCAACACTGCTTAATTATAAATAAAACAAGTCTGTAATACAGTGTGAGGGATTTGGGATAGTGCTAACGGAAACTAGAGCAGGAGGGTGGGAGAAAGTGAAATATTTATCAGAGCAAAGAGATAGAGATTCATATCACAATGATGCAAATAAAAGGTTTAACAGAAGGCTGCTCTGCTGCCGTACTGATTTATTTCGTTATGCCGATTCTCTTTCATGAGAGATTGTGAAGCAAAAGCTGTTTATATTGGTCTCAATAGCAGAGCTACCCTACCCTGTTCGTATAGAGGAAGTGGACAATATCCATCAGGGTCACATTTTTCTTATCTGAGACAATGAAACTAGTACTGTCACTAGGATTTTCACAGAGTGGCAGCTAATATGATTAGCTTTCAAGGCTGGATAGAGGAACCTGGACGCCAACAGCTAGTTGGCATTTGCAGAAAGGAACTGGGACTGTCTAGATTTTGCAAAGTAGAAGAAAGTGCAGACTGTACTCCTGGCTCACTGAGCATCATTGTTATAAAGATACCATGTACATGTGATGGGGAAGGCAAATATTAATTATGTTTTTAGCGATTTAGTTTGGAGCAATATTCCATGTATAGGGTGACCAGATGTCACGATTGTAGAGGGACAGTCCCGATTTTGGGGGCTTTTTCTTATACAGGCACCTATTACCCCCCCAACCGCTGTCCAGATTTTTCACACTTTCTATCTGGTCACCCTATCCATGTAGTAGGTCAAATGTGTGAAGCGGCATGAGGAAGAGAGTTTGAACTGGAACAGTGCTAGCATTGAGTGAGCGTGATATTAATGGGAGTTAGGTGCTAACCTGCAAAGGCACTTAAATCCTGTTAGGCACCTATCTGTATTTTCAGTAATTCTAATGTGTAAATCTGGCCCTTAGAGCTATTTCATTGGTTTGGGACAGGATGACTCAAAGCAAACCTCTTTCCCTTCAATAATCCCATACAATGCAGGAAAGGATTAGGCCTGTAGTAATCTGTACAAATACCTGTTTAAAGTTAAATTATGGACTTGGATAGACACATAGTAGGCAGGTTGGAAAGAGCATAAGGAACTCATTCTTTCTGTACCCATAACATAGCTCCTTGCATTCTCTGAACACTGTGTCAGGAGCCACAAGAACTACCAATATCACTGAATGAGCAAGAAAGGGCCTCAACATCTATAGGTGGGCTCATCCCCTTTCTTCAAATGAGAAGACAGACACAGATTGAATGAGTTATCCAACGTCACGCAGCAAGTCATTGTCAGAGCCTGACTGCCATTCTCCTTCTCCTCCAACCAAGGGACCATATTGTCCACTGTTTTTATGAAAAAGCAAATCTTTTTCTGAATCAACTCAGTGAAGAATGGAAGTGTCGCCATTTTGCTCATAACTCTGGCTAGTAGCAAAATTAAGGCCCACGCCAAAATAATACTTGTAATAGGAGAAGTTTTTGTGTTGTGTTATTTTCACAGCAAGAAGCTGTTGTCCCTTGTGGCATTGCTAAAGCATTGTACTTGGTCAGAAAACCCACTTATACTCCCAAAGCCACACTGCTTTCCACGTGACTCTTCCTAAAGCAAGTATTGACAGAGTTGTACAGTTTGAAAGAAGAGGCAAGAGGAAAGGGCTCTGATGACACAAATGAAATGTGTCATTCAATCAAAGCATTAAAAATAATAATTTAAGATCTCTCTGTGCATGAGAAGACCTCTGAAGGGGTATCCTCCTCTCTATGGGCATAAATAACTCCCATTGACATTAATGTGATGGATTTGATTTATGTTGAGTATAGCTCTAGGGTTGGGGCTCACCCTAAGTAAAAGTGGTGAGGACTATAGAAGGAATGTAATTTGAGAGAGATGTTTTGAGTTTAGCACAAGTCTTGCTCTTGTATACCCTTTAAAGCAGACATGATGGCATATTAGCCAGCTACAAATTGACAGAGACCTGAGATTTATATGAATGCTTGTGTGTTAAAATAAGCACCGAATTTTCTGCATGCAATTGCCACACTTGTGCAGACCGAATGGTTGTGTACAGAATCATCGTAACTACATATAAATGCAGGAATGGATATGAATGTGAAAATGTAAGAAAAAAATGCCTTTAACTAAACAGGCTCTTTATCTCTTTGGTTGGCAGATTTGTCTGGTGTGTCACCAGCATGACAACATATTTAAAAATACTGTAAAAGACTGTACTAAATTCCCCACTCATTTACACATCCACAAAACTTTCTCCATAAGGAAACAAAAGCATTCAGGGTAAATGTAGGGATAGCCCTAGGACTTGGGCTTGCCTATTGAACTGCTTTTGGTTATATATGGGGAGGAGTCTCAATTAAGTTCTCTATTCCACATTTAGTTCTATTTGTGGGTAGAATTAAATGTCATGTAGTAAGGCATGGATGTGCTTGTGATTGAGGACCAATTAGTTGGAGGCGGATCAATGTCCTTGTCCTCAGTGGGAGTTGGGAGTATGATGAGTTGGACCCCTCTTCTGGGATGCCAACTGATGTACTGGATTTCACTGAGCCTCCCCTGCTTAATCAGCCTGGGCTCCCTCTCCCTGCTTTGCTGAATTAGACTCTCTGGCCTCTTGCAGCACACACACACAGGTAAGGCCACACCCCACTGCAGGAACAGCCTGAAGTCAGCTCTGTGTGAGGACTCACGTGCACACCCCTTTGGGAGAGATAACCCAAAATAATATTGTCTTGTGCTGTACAGAAAAATCTGCACAGCGCAAGCTCATAAAAATCCGCCCTCTTCCTCAATGTGAAGAGAGATGTGCACACTTCTTGCCCCCCAAGTTAGAAGTTGCATTAACTGGGTTTTATTACAAAAAAATAAGTTTATTGACTACTAAAGGTGGATTTTAGGTGAATATAAGAGATAACAGACCGAACAAAGCAGATTACTGACCAAATAAAGCAAAATAAGCAAGCTAAGCTCAATATACTTAAGAAACAGGTTACAAAATATAAATTCTCACCCTAAATGTCATTTTAGGCAGGTTGAAAGTTTCTGTGGTTCAGAGTTCCAGTTATATTCCTTTTCAGACTGGACCCCTGTCTCCGTATGGACTCCCTCTTGCCTGCCCTTCAGGTGGCTTTTGCAGTCTTTCTTCTTGGGCAGATAGGCCATGGAGAGGAGGAGTCCTGTTTGCCTTCCTCCCCACCCTTAAATAGGATTTACATATGGCGGAAATCCTTTGTTTCCCAAACTTGACTCCCCTTCCCTTCCAGTGGAAAGTTACAAAAGTCCCAGTAATGTTTTGTATCTGGTGACAAGATCACCTGACTCTGTAGTATCACAGCGTCCATGAGTCAGTGGCAGTATGGAGCAAGAAGGCCAAGCTTTTCAAAGTCCATTGTCCTCACAGATGGGCCATCAGCCCTGTCTGGCTTTTCCATTGTTGTACCTGAAGTATGAGCAGTGGGTGTCACCCAAAGTAGCATAGTTGAAATACAGATACATAGTCAATATTCCTAACTTCAGATACAGAAACGATACAGGCATACAAATTGGATAATCACATTCAGTAAATTATAACCTTTCCAATGATATCTTACAAGACCCATCTTGCATAAAGTACATCTCAGTTATGTCATATTCATATCATAAGTATATTTTCATAAAGAACACAGGGTGAAATGTCACAGGGAGGTTTGGTCCAGGGTTCATATTTCAAGAGGAAGGGATGGAATCCCCGTGATTGGGAAGTGAATATTGTCATTAGCCACTGGAGAGCATAAGCAAATGCCTGGGGGTTCTCCGCAACCCTGGATAAATGTCCCCCTTTGTCAGTGGGAGAGGATTTGTGAATGTGTTACTGAGCAGGAGATGTGTATTTACTGCATATTTACTTGAGGTTTTGCTGGAGATGTTAAGGGCAGTTAATTTTTGTGAGAAATGCAGTGTTACCATACATCTGTGTGTAGAGATATATTTAAAGTAATGGAGAGTGACTCACTAAGAGATGGCATTTCTTGAAAAAAATCTTTGCTTTGGGTTTGTTTTCCTCTTCTCTCATTTATACTGATGTAAGCCAAGAGTAACCTCACTAAACTCAAATGAGCCACACCTATATAAAATTGCTGTAAGTGAAAGACAAATCAGACCTTATGAGTCTTGCAGTGTATTGTGCTTAATCCCTTGTTGCGTAAATTCTGAAGGCCAGATCCTCAGCTGGTATTAACTGATATAATCCAATAACGTTACATTTATTTGTACCAGATGAGGATTTGGCTCTGACTCTGCTTTGTGGACTTTTAATTTCTTCTTGGCTACTGGTGTGTCTACAGATTCCTCAAAATTCCTCACCATCCACGGAAACTGACCAAATACTAGATCCTGTTCATACTATTAGCTCCTTAAAAGGATCTCTTAACGGCAGAACAGACCTCAAAGAAATCAAGTTTGATCTTGTGCACTGGCAATTAAAAAGCGTTTCCTCCTTCAAACCTGCAAAGATCAAGCTCTCTCACTTAAGTGAGAGCATTAACCTCTTTTCATTTACAGAAGTATCAATTTAAAACATAGTGGCTGTTCCTCAGTTGCTTCCATTTAACAATATTAGTAACAGGCTCAGCCAAAAGAGGGATAAATGCCATACGAGTAGCCAGCAGATCCCCTAACTCTTGTCTATTCACTATTTCATCAGTGAATTAATCCAAGATGGGAAAATCCCCATACTTCTTCTATATCCAAAACATACATTTCCTTGTAAGAGGAATTTCAGAGGGAAACAAAATGTGGCCTAGTGGCCAGAACATCTGGGATCCATTCCAAGCTCTATCATTGAATTACCGTGTAACCTAGAGCCAGTCACTTTACCCAAGTATTCCTTATTTTACTTACCTGTAAAATGATGAGGCCAACATTTTCAAAAGGGGTCCACTCACTTTTGGTGCCTTGACTTTTGGGTGGCCAAATCTGAGAAATCTAGGGTACGATAGGATTGTTGAGCACTCACAGATCCAACTGAAGGCACTGCAGATGGTCAGCAACTCTGAAAATCAGACATCTTAGTTCAGGCACTCGAAAATTAGTGGACAGGCTCATTTGAAAATATGTTTATTTACAAGTAGAGCTGAGTAGCTTAATTAGCACCAGATCATGAATGGTTCTTTTGCAGGAGTTTTGGAGAACACAAGAAGAGTCCTCTGTTGCTCACCCCAGGCAAGGGTCAGCCACAATTACACTCCTTGTGCCTGATGGAGCCCAGAACTGCTCCCTCTCTGTGCCTATGGAGGAATACACTTCCACAGTGGATAGTGAACACTGCAACCTATCTTTCTCCTTGAGGCACAATCTCTCCTTGATCTTCTCCTGAGGCAGCTAGGCTTGATGCCACTCCAGTGCAGCCTTAAAGAACCTTATTTCATATAAAGATACAACTGACGTGTAAAGAATAGTAGAACCCCCCTTTTTTTTAACAAAGATTTATCTATAAAGATTAATCTCTTTTCAACTGCTGAAATCATCTTGCTGACACCAAATGTGACTTCAGGCCTTCAGCGAACGTTGAACTGCTTATACAGGTTTAAAAACACTGAGATTTGGCAGCAAAGAAAAATCGGGCACATTGTATACATTATATCATCACTGAATGATTAATTAATTAACCTATGAACTGTACCTTACTGTAATTGAGATGTTCAGTTGTATGATTTTTTATTTTATCTTTTCAGTTCCCAGTTAGTTCATCAAATAGGGGTTCTACTGTACTATCATTTACCCTTTTACCCCATGTAGAAAACTTATATAATTGAAAGTGCTACATAATGATCAATTGGACGTATTGTTCTTAGACTTAAAGGACCAGATCCTCAGCTGGTGTAAAAATCAGTGTCACACCAACAGACCTATGCCAATTTACATCAGCTGAGGAGCTGGTCCCAAGTTTTCCCAATCATAGCTTATTATTGCTGTTTCACATACTTTAAATGAGCAGATTTTCCCCCAATGCCCACAAAATATACATGGTTAAGAATTTGCATGTTCATGAACCTTATTTCAACATGAACTTTAATAATTCATTGAAAATATTTTCTATAATTAGTAATATGCAATCTAATGTAAAAGGTTAACATCCTTCATGCAACAGAAGAAGGAACACAGTGAGTATGAAAAAGAAGATGAATCACACAGAAAGAAGAAGCTGCAAAACACTGAAAATAAAACATACACATTTCTCTGTGAATGATCAATGTCTAGAGTTTGCTATAATTATAATTTAATTATGAACCCAATTTTGCAACAATTTTTAAAGTACATAGTTATCATTTAAGTACTTTCCATGTAATTATCTGCTGTTGAACTCGCTCATTATGTAGCAATTACTGCATAAATTACCCTGTTGTTTAAGATTTTTTTTTCCATTTCACAGTGACTTGTAATCCAATAACACAAATTGTTTGACCTGCTTTTAGTGGCCTCAATATTGCATTCTGACTTCCAAGAGATGGTGGCTAACTCTTGGATATAAAGAAGGTGGCTAGATGAGCATCTCTGCTGCTTTTTCTAACATTCAAGAAGATTGGCAAACAGTGAAATTTCAGAAATTTTCATGCCACTTCCATCTTGACCCACCTCCTTTCTCCCTCCTAATTTTTTTGCCTAAAAGAAACAAAATCTAGAGTTCCACTCATCCAAGGACTCTCTCCATAGTCTTCAAGTCAAATTCTAACCTTATTAAGCTGAGGGGAATCATGGACACAAGACACTGAAACCTAGAGGCAGATCCTCAGTTGATGTATATTGTCATATCTTCGTTGATTTCAATGGAGTGGTGATAATTTACGTTAGCTGAGGAGCTGCTTCCTAATTCACGGAAAGGAATTATATTCATTCCTGACTGTGAACTAAAATATGATAGCCTACAGGTTTAATAACTGAGCCCTGAATTGAGCAGATGAACATTCCGTTGTAGGAAATATTACCTTCTTGTGGAGTAGAGACTTTATAGCTCATGATGTATGTGAATAAATTGAGCAATTGTCTTGTCAAGCTTGAACGAAATAGAAGTATTGCAAATGTTAGGCCTCAAACATACATACACTTCAAAATGTAAGCCTTGCAAAAACAAAGCTTAAGCTTGTGGCTTGTGGTCAGTACATGCTGCAACCAGATAACAATTTATGCTGACTCCTATGTACTTATCAACCCCAAATTACCCACATTCAAGATCTAATTGGCCACAGAAAATAAATAGGCCTCAATTATGCAAACAAATAACAATTGACATAAAAATTAAATACGCATCAATTATACAACTAGGGCAACCACACAAACAAGGTGGCCCACCCTGATTGGTTGGTCTGTTCTAAAACACGGCCGTCAGACCAGATAAAAAGAACAAAGGCACGGGATTGCCTGTGTGTTTTCGGTAAACCTGACCCACACCCCCTGAACCGAAGGGACGTGCACTTCTAGACTGTCTGTACCTGGCCAGTGCGGAAAGCAGCCGACTGAAGGGTAACGTATTTTCAGATGGATGCAAGGTAAGTCTATGGAGTAAAGAAGTCTGGTCGCTCGAGCCGAATTGATTATAGTTGTATCGATACTGTAGCATAAAATCAATAGTAAGTGGCTGATGCATAATAGCTTTGCATGTATTTGTGCTTGTCTTTTAAGTAGTCTGAGCGGCTGCATGTAGTGCTGTCGTTCATCAGCTTTATGTTGCCTTTGAAATAGTTTTCACCAGGAATATAGAGCTGGTGAATAATAGCTTTACTTATGCTTGTCTTTGGGGCTTTTATTATGACCTGCCAGGACCAGCATATGTAGAGTCAGAAACCCGCAAATGGTCCACAATATTACATGTACTTGCACTTGTGTTCAATATAATCTGCCTTTTGTATTAATTCTTATTCAGTGCTAGTCTTTGGTTTTCCTTTTCTTGTTTTGTTTATGCTGTTATTATAGTCGAAAATCATTAAAAGCCTTTCTTGAGGAATAATTAATAGTTCTTACTTATTTTATACGGACACCACTTAACCTCATTACATCTGTGTTGGGTGGTGGGAAGTAGCGAACACCCCGGGGTGAAATAGGGCCCTGAGGCGTGCCTCCTTCTTCCTTTATCTCCGCAATGTAGTAGAATCTATCTTTAGAAAATGACTCCAGGTCAGCCAAACTTCCTTCAGCATGAAATAGGGCCTCTGTAAGGATAGTGTTTCATGAGGGCTGCCCATGCTTGCATAACTGTCTTCTCCATTATATGGTGGCTAGAGAGCACTTTTTTGATTTTATATGATTTGGGCAAAACAAAGAACATGTATTCTTCTCATAGTGCTTTCCAGATCATTTTATACATTTTTCCATATATATGGCAATAGTATAGATCTTCTTTTGAAAACTGCCTGCAGTGGCATTGGAACAATTTTTATAGTGGAGGTGCCAAAAGCCATTGAACAAAACTATAAACCCTGTACATGGTGGAAACTGCTTCAAGCAAGGGAGTGCTACCGCGACCCCCAACACCCCAGCAACCCTGTCTGCCTGGGGGATATCCTTAGAAGAAAAGGAGGGAGACTGGATTTGATAGTGAACTTGGAACATTTCAAGTTTTACAAAATGTGGGCCGGTCTATTCAAGTTTCAGAACCATTTCTTGGTGGTGAGTCAATGAATTTCTGCATGCAAGTTTGAAACATAGCCAAGTAGTTGTGGCCTGTATGTGCCACATTGTGGATTATGAGTGCTGAAGTAAAATTCCAAAGCTGAGAGGAGCACCGTAAGTTGCAGAAAGTTCTGTAGAAAATCCCTTTGTCCCTTTTACACCTTCAAATGTCCTGAAGTGAGCACAGGTGGACAGTTCCTTTCAGTCCTTGGAGGGGTCTCCCAGCCATCTCCTCAGTCCTGAGGGGTGGCCCAGTAAATTTGTTACCCCTTACATTTCCACATCAATTATCTTTGTGAGCCTGGAACAAGGCTAGTGAAGGGGAAAGCTTTGAAAGACTGGACTCCCATGTAGCACCTGGCACTCCGATTCCCTTTTTTTTTTAATTATGATGCAAGCTGATCTAACAGTATTACACAAATAAACTAAAAGCAATTGATTTAACAGCTACATTTGCAGCGGATGGAAGATAGCTCAGATTGACATGAGAAAACTGATGAAATTATTAGAGGGGCCAAAGTGAAACTCAATGTTTGATTTGCCCTACTGTTTTAGAAGAGCAGCAGAAAACTCACTCATCCAGCTACCTGGGTAGGAGTTAGAGTCACTCTTACACAATCTTAGACCTGCATAAATAGGACTGTTGATTGATTGATGATGATGATGATAAATGTAGTTCCTGTATTACTTAGCCAAAAAAAACCAACAAATTTTGGGCCTGATTCTTCTCCCACTTTCACTTGTTTTATACTGGCCATTGACTTCATGGACTGGAGTTACTCCTAAATCCTAAATTGGAATAATCAAGAGGGGAACCAGGTCCTTTGTCTTTAGATTATAAGCCACACACATTGAATACACTTTCATTTAACAGAGCTGAAATGCAGTTCCTGAGGAAGCACTGTTGAGGAAAAATCTTAATTGGTATGGTTCTCCATCTTGTTTTACAAAACAACAACTAGGACTCCATTTTAGCCCCCCCTCCCCTTTCATGGAGAGCTTCCCTCCCCTCCTCCCCTGTCTTTTTCAAATTAGAGCGGGCAAAGCCATGGAGCAGTTAGGATCACATGACTGAATAATCTGCCTAGCAACCGCAGACTATTTAGGTGGCAGCCTCAGTCCTCCTTGGAGCTGTCCATCCGAGTGACAGTCAGTGTCTGCCATATTGCTAGCCTTTGAAAGGAGTCCTAGCTAGGCCAGGATTGTAATATATGATACCAGGTTACCTCTGTGTTATGCAGCGCAAACACCCGTTTCCACTTCCATCAGCAAGTCCGCGCACTACCACTCAGGACAACGCATAGGAGATGGAAGACAGAAGAAAGAAGAGGACAAGCCACTTACCTGGTGGTCATCGCGTCCTGTGTTCCAGCATTCCAGTGTTCCTGTGACCCAGCATTCCAGTTTCATTGATTCTGTCCAGGATTCCAGAACCATCCTCGTTGCATGGTCAGAGATTGTTCCAAGCAACAGTCAGGGGTTCATCTCTTGGACAAGAAGAGAGATGGTACTATAGTTTCTTTTTATTGTCTTTCAATCATCCCAATGTGTCAGGTTTGTGGTCTCTGGACTTCAAATCCTTCCATTCACTTTTAACAACCGAGCCTTTCCTGTTATTAGTTGTATTTGTGTATGTTAATTCATAACAAGGGTTCTGTTTAAGACGTAGCAAAAACTGTCCTGCCACTTGAAATATGTTGTATTAATTAGCTCGTTTCACTGTAAATCAGTGGCATACAGAACCTTAGATAACAGGTAATTTGACGCTTGTAAATAAACATGGACTCCTTTGTGCCATCAGAGCTAGAAAACATGTGGTTATTAAGCTGCATCTATATTTGGAAAGCCAGATTAACTCCCAAATATTTCTTATTGTACTTATATATTAAGCATGGCCATACTAAAAACCCTAATGTTACAAAAATGGAGGCCTGGTCCTGAACTCCTTTCACCCACATTAGTCAGACAAACTTCCTCTGAAATTAAAGAGTACCCAGATCCTCAAGGATATTTAGGTGCCTAATTCCCATTGACCTCAGTGGGTACCTTAATGCCTTTGACGATCTGGGCCCAAGTCTCATCACAAGTCAGTGGGACCTTAGATCTTAAGTGCCTGAGTCACTTTTGTAATAGGATTTAAGATTTCAAATTCCTTCAGCAATTTTTGGAAATCCATAGTGTTCTCCACTGTTTTAAAAGCCCATACATGTAATGGTTTAATAGCTAACCTTCTGTGTGTGTCCCTGTTATGCCCAAACATTGCCTTCTCTGGACTGGTAATTTATTTATGGAATATTCCACCATCATGGAAAGTAATGGTTGCTGGTAGAATTAATTTAGACAATGCAGATATAACAAGGATTTACAATTAACAGGAAGAACATGGAAAGTTCCTCTTTCCATGGATATACATTTAAATGCATATCTGGAAAGGTCTAAGTCAAATATACTGTAGGGAACATAGTACAAGTGCTACAGATGCTCAAACTAACATTACATATATCGCATAACAGTCCTACAGTGCCCTCAGATTAGATTAGATTAGATGAATTGAGAGACTGATTTTTATATAGTGTAGCCATGCAATTCATAAAATGCATGTGTAATTGCTTTCCTAAACTGACTGAGCAATTCCCATGGCTGTGCATCCCAATCAGGTAATTATAGACGTAAATATACATTTGCATATTCAGTTACCCAATTTTCATGCACAATTACTGTAATTGCCCATGCAAGTTAGGCACACATCATCCCCGCTCTTGCCAAAAACTTAAGATAGAGCCCAATTATTTTTAAATGACAAACTTATTTTTGTGTTTCTGTTTTAATTCATGGAGTCGTTTTGTCAGCTAATAAAAGTGTCAGTGAACCGTTATGCAAAAAAAAAATAAAATAAAAAAAAATCTTCAGCCTAATGTGGAAGGCTCCTAATTAATATGTACCCAAACAGTAGGAGATTTTTACACATTTCTAATTTTACCAAGTGAGGTTTTATGGGTAGAGCAAATGATTAACATATTCTTTAAGGGGGTCTAGCATTCTCAGAATGTGAAATGCATAACTCATGTTAGTGTTAATGGAAATAACGTGCATGCATGCATAGGAGAATAAACCCATTAAATGCTGTTAATCTGTATTAAAACTTCGAAATCTCTTGGAATAATAATAATGTTGGCAGCTTCCCTTGCTATAATGGTTTGGGATGCATCAGAAGCCAGAAATTTATCTTGCTATATAACAATTTTTCTGGGCTAATGTTCTATTTTTTATGGGCTAGATCCTCAGATGGTGTAAACTGACACAATTCTAGTGACTCTGACTTTAAGGACAGAAGGGACCATCATGATCATGTACTCTGGCCTCCTGCACATTGCAGGCCACAGAACTTCCACCACCCACTCCTGCAATAGGCCCAGAGCCTCTGGCAGAGTTACGGAAGTCCTCAGATTTAAAGACTTGATGTTACAGAGAATCCACTATGTGTGTTATTATGGACTTGTATGGAGCTGGTTCACTCCTGCTGCTGATCCACCTCTGTATATTTAAGAGAGAGGACTAAATATGGTTGTGAACTATTGCATTAATATGTCAGCTTCACTTCATTATTTAGAGCTGGTAAAAAACAAAGTATGTAAGATTTTCAAGAAAATCATGTCTTTTTTCATTCATAACTTTGAAATTGTTATTGATTATGTCTGTACAGGATTCTACGTACTCAGAAATAGCTTCTAAACCTTTGAAAGTGGCTGACATCTAGGATTTTATCCTTTGGAGCAGTGGCTTCCTATGGCCAATATTTGGAGCTTTTTAACTTTCATTTAACTGGAAATAGCCTATGTAATCCAAAACTACCATCATGAACCCAAGATCAGCAGCACCAGGGCTCTAACAGTTATTGCAACTGATGGATGCGTACGAGACTGGACTGTCAATCTATGCCATTGCAAGAAGGCAGGGGAGGAATAGTAGAAATTACCTTTGAAAAGATTAGATCTCCCCCATTCTCTCCATAGCTGAGGAAGTCTCAAAATAAGGTGGATGCATTTTAGTCACACACACTCCCCGTGTTTCCTTTTTGCACTGTGGAAGATCTCTAGGGGACAGGAAGGGTTGCAATCGGAGGGAATTATACAGATACCCTGGCCAGGGACATGTGATAGCTCAAGAAGGAGTCCATACTATGCTTCAGTGTTTCCTGGCGGATTCTGTGCCAGTTATCACACCACATTGGTACCCTGTGCAAAGCCCACTTGCTCAAGCTTTGAACACAACATGCAGATGTCACCCAGAGAGAAAAAAATCTTGCTCTTCCTAAATGTCAGTGACATCTGGAAGCAACTATTGCAATTGAAGCAGGAGCTTTCCAGGGTAAATGGTTCGAATCAGCCTAACTGCAGCCTGTCAAATTGAAAGCTCATTTCCTTCCAGGTATCTTCATATTCTGTAACATATCAACCATCAAATCTCTGACTGAGGTTCAAATCAGACTGAGACTCTGTCAAGGGCAGAAGAATAAACTGAGCTCTGGACTAACTTTCTCTTCAGCATCCATGTTTTTATTGCCAATGCTTTATGTAACCACTTCTTCTTATAATCCAGTTCTGGGCTCAGAGACCACCAGTCTTTGAGGTCAAATAGAAATTGCACATGGATGCAGAATTTAGTTCTGTATGTTGGGGCTATAAGATTGGTCTGACTTTGCTGTTAAGGGGGCAAAAACAGTATTAATGAGTTTAAAAAAATGATTAATGGAAAAGATTGCTTCAGACTCTTATGTCAAAGTGTGGTGCTTAATGTTTGCTTTTGTCTTCCTCTTTTCCTCACCTCCAACTAGGCCATTACTGTGATTCTAGGCCTCTCACAGTACAACATGAGAATACTTTGCTATCATCCAATTATTCTGAGGCCTCTATTACTATCCTGCATTATATGCTTGCTTGGTAAGTTATAACACACTTGGGAATGACAGATTGACAGTTTTATGTGCATCCTGAATTAAAATGTGGCTCCATTTCACTGGGCTACTAGGAGAAGAAACAAGCTGGACTATCCACTGAACCTGAGAGCCACAATGTCATGTTTTATACAATCATCTTATTTCTCTCTTCTTCCTCTTTCAAAAGAACAAATATTTTAAAAAAACAGTCAGTACTTTATTGAATTCTCATCACTTATTTAATAGCTCAAATCAAATGCTTTCCTATGCCGCTTTATCATTATACTAAACATGGAAATATGTGGTCAGTAAAAATATGCTACACATTTTTAGTTCCTTTCTATTAAATGTGTCATTATCTAGTGTAATTATTAATAATTTGGGGTGATTCATATATTTCCTGAGTCACTGAAATCCACACCATCTAATTTTTGTCAGTAGACAGCACAAGCATGTGTTTTCCTTACCATTAACGCTGCTATGTTCTGTTAAGGCTAGTTAGTGATATGTATCATACTATTTTCATAAGCTTATTTTAAAATTCTTTATTAATGGGCTCAGTAACCCCAGTTTCAAAGCAAGTTCCTAGCAAGAATTCCAGGTGAGGAAGCACAGCACAAGCTGCTTTTCCAGTTCAGGTAAAGAAGCACCACTGAGTCCTAGTCTACATTGGTGGTGGTGGTGGGGAGGATCAGTCTAAGTTACGCAACTTCAGCTATGTGAATTACGTAGCTGAAGTCGATGTACTTAGATCGACTTACCGTGGTGTCTCCACTGCGGTGAATCGACTGCTGCTGCTCCCGCATTGACTCTGCCCGTGCCTCTCGCGGCGCTGGAGTACAGGAGTCGACGGGAGAGTGCTTGGGGATCAATTTATCACGTCTAGACTAGATACGATAAATCGACCTCTGCTGGATCGATCACTGCCCACCGATCTGGGGGGTAGTGGAGACATACCCTCAGACTGAGGCTATGTCTACACTACAGACTTTACAGCGGCACAGCTGTACCACTGTGTATAGCTGCTCTATGCTGGCGGGAGAGAGCTCTCCCGTTGGCATAATTAAATCACCCCCAATGAGCAGTGGTAACTATGTTGGTGGGAGAGCATCTCCTGCTGACATAGCGCTGTCCACACCGGTGCTTTTGTTGGGGAAACTTATGTCGGTCAGCACTGACAAAAGTGCTCGTGTAGACATAGCCTAAGAACTCCTTGCAGCTCAATTGTGATTGTGTGTTCTAAAGACAGAGAAATAGTACTTCTATGGAATTAGTGACAAGTGGGCATTAATCATTGGTCTACTCTTATGAGCACTTGTATGAGTGGTGTGAAACCCTGGATCCATTGAAGTCAACAGGAGTTTTGCCTTTGATTTCTGCATAGCCAGGATTTCACCCTTAATCTACTAAGTAAATTGACCTACTGAAAAAGTGTGGGTAAGGTTATTGAATACCTAAAGAAATTTCCTCCCCAAAAGACTGTGATGCATCTCATTTAGTTTGGAATCAGTAGTGAGCAAGTGGTAGATTCTTACTGCGGCTATGTAAGTCTGGTGTTGCTTCACCTCTGTGAGTGGGATCCCCCCTACAAGCTCTGCAGCTACTACTTGACTTCATCTCCAGGCATTCTAAATGTTGGGTCATTGCCAAAGCTGCACCAGCATCACCATCCCTGTGGCAGATGCTTTTCTCCTAGTTCACCTGTGAACTGTCTCCCCAGAAGTTTTAAATTGGAAGACAGCCCAACACTACCTTCTGTCTTGGCTGGTAAGTTTACCTTTAAGTCCTTTGGTTTTGTTTTACTTTTGTCTCTGCTGAGCTCTAGTTTCCTTCACTCCAACCTCTGGACACAAGATGGAATCTTCAGAAGCTAGATAACTGGCCCACACCCAAAGTCACAGAAACCAGCAGTCAGAGACCATAAATACCCTCTCGATAATGTTGAATATTTATCAGAAAGCAGCTTCTCTGTTGTTGCACGTATTTGTATAAAATCTATGTATTTCTGCAAAGCTTTCTGCATTTTTACCAGCTGTGGCACACCTCTTTAAGGACAAGAAGGAATAAAAAAAATGGTTATTTTAAAGTATATTGAACCTAAGGAGCTGTGATGGATTTTATGCAAGGAGAGTCTAAAATTTTTTTTTTTACTTCAATGCTCAGAATTTTATTTTAAAATAAAAACACCTTTACTTGTGTAAACAAACGTAAGGCATGATTCACTGTCATGAATAGGAATCTTTCTGCTATATTTAATGGGAGTTGACTGCGCCCCCAGTCTACGTATTCCTCTAGCTTAAAGCTAGTGTAACAAACATTATCAGATTTAAAAGATTAGACATTAAAATTATTATGTTTATCATGCGTCAGTGTAAGAATGTTAACATAACATTCATTAATCTAATATTTTCATACAACCTGTATATTTTTAAATTAATCTCATTAATATTCTGTCTCTGACTGGGTGAATATAGAGAGAAATGTTCATACGGTTTTGTGTAAATGAACCTTGAATTTGCTTTGTTGGTGTTCATATTTGCTTATTTGCATATATTTGGACAGGTAAGTTTTAATCAGCAAGTCTATCCTGAACAGTCACACTAATACATATTTTATGAATACTTTCATTGGAAGTGCTCTCATACATTTGTCCAATATTTACAAATACTTGTGAATAATTTGCAAACAAAAATGAGACT